TAAATTCTGAAATGAAAATGTATGAATACTAACTATCAATTTTTCGTGCAACTTTTATTGAAAAATGTATCATAGTTAAATTGTTGTATTATAACAATAAGTGGAGTATTTTATACTGTTACAGAAAAAAATTTCTCGAGTTATTTGAAATTTCATCTCGTCATTTATAGGATTGATCGTAATAATTATTACTTATTAGTTTTTTTGTTCACTTAATCATATTGTTAAATGAAAAATAAATTTCTTCTTTTTCTATAAATTTTCATATTCGAGTGTTATATTATGGCTTATCGGAAATTTCTCTTGATGCACTTAGAGCGAGAAGATCAATAACACATACTTATTTCATCTCAAATAAAGAAAAAGATTAACAAATGTTTCCTCAGTTTTGCCTTCCATATCTTTCTATCTTGGGTTAGTTTTCTGAGGCCCCGCCCTCGGCACTATAGCACTCGCAATACGCACACCTTGCTGGCATGCAAGTTGATGTAGATACACACGGTTGCACTGTATTAATGGCAGTTTGTCACCTTACTTATGCTATCATCGTATTACATACAGGGTGACTCGTAAGCCACGAACTGCTTAAAAATTATTATAATTTTTATTTGTTAAATATTTCCATTTTTGCGTATAACACGTATGGGATATGGAGACGTGTGATTTTTATTGCAAAGCTCTTACTTCTTTCTTGAATATTGCATATGAATACATTACATTGGATTGAATACCACTCGTCTCAAGGTATTTATCTGATAGGAACAACAAATCGGTATTTGTAAAATTCAGCAAACGGGATGATGAGTTTTATTTCATTATACTATTGTAATAATGTACTACAGAAAAAGATTGTGCGTATATGAGACCAAAAATGGAAAAATGTCCAGTTTGTACTTTGTAAACAACATACGAAAAATAAAATTACTTGACAAGCAATTATAACATTTTAGAAATAGTTTACACACGACTTATGGAACCACTACTCTGTAAACAGTAAGTTTTCCTATAATTCAAAGAAATGTAGAAAGATCAACAAGATTGATTTTATTTACTCGATTTGTAACTGAAAATTAATATATTCTATATATTAGAAATAACTTTAGGATTCACTAAATTTGTTTATATCTAACAAAAGTTGGCAAAAAATTATGTTGTCGGATGAGTATTGTAGGATGCGTATGTACATTTTGTAAACATTTTTTAATACGTTTAAATTCTTCGGCACAGAATCAACGGTTTCCGACGTACAAAGAGGTTAAGAGAGTATATTATGTTTGCAATCGCCTCTATTCTGAGCCCCTTATGACGTAAAGAGGCTTCCAAAAATTGCATCACACGGAAATGTGGATGCAGTCATTTTTTTAAATCTTGGTTTTAGCAACAGTACTCTCACTATACGATCATTGAATACTTTGCTCCCCAAAAACAAGGATGGAAGAGACAGAGTCGCAGCGTCTTTATATAGATTACATGTTCATTCGTACATGCGAGAATGTTATGCCATCTTGTGACTGTTTCTGGTACTTACTGGTGGCACGAAACAACCACCGGGCATCAAGCATCAGGAAAATGTTCGTTAAACTTTTATTGCTTTGTTTTCACATAGTTTTCGAAATTAAAATCTATAATTGATGTTGTACATTAATGATCTATACGTACCTCAAAAATATATAAATTTGAAAATTGTGTTAACATAAAAAGTAGTTATAAGTATAGAGTGATTATTCTCAATCACTCTTTCAACG